GCGTTATCTTGTTGAATATTGTTATTGAATCCATTAAAAAATAAGAAATTTCTTTTTTTCTTCGAAGTTCGCACTGATTCAGCGTGTTGCTAATCATCAAGTAATTGGAAAAAATAAAATCCGGAGAAATCAGGAGAAAATCGTAAAAATCAGCTCCTGAAATCAGGAGATCTTTCATCAGGAGAAAATAAGGAGACTCTTGCCAAAATCAGGAGGTTTGGCAAGCCTGGCTTTAACAGTCAATGGTTAACGTTTGACCGAAGTTTCCTCGACTGTAGGGAGGGCCATATGAAAAAAAATAGTTTGTGTGTCTGTATGTGTGTGTCTGCATCGGGATCAAAAAAACTTCCACTTTAGAAAATTTTTTTCCATAAAGGTTGCCGAAAGTAAATCGAGGTCGCAGAATCCAAATCTGGAGTCAGAATTTGAAAATTTTGAAGTGAGTTTTTTGGGTTAAGGGAAGGGTTTTTTGAGAAAATAATCATACTTCATAAGGTTGACGAAAGTAAATCGGGGTCGGGGAATCTGAATCTGAAGTCAGAATTTAAAAATTTTGAAGTGAGGTTTTTGGGTTCAGGGAAAACATTTTTTGAGAATATAATAATATTTGCTCACGTGTAGGAAGAGTTATATGAAATAAAATAAGTTTTTGTCTATTATTGTCAAAGTGAACGATGAAATATCATTAAAAAACCTTGGACAAGTTTTCGGTGCTCGGGTTTTTTAATATTAGGCTTTTCATCAATTCTATTTTTCAAACTGAATATTCAGTTAATCCGATGTATGCGATAAGTTCTTCCAGAATGAGCTGTTTTATAACTAGGTTTCCACGGATGAGAGTTGTTTTCAAAGAGGCCGATCAGTGTCTTCGACTTGTACCATTCAAGAAATCAAAGTTTCAGTCAGTTATGGTGACGAGACCAATAGATCGGTTCTTTCGATACTCACATGCACAATGTACTTGTCTTAAACAGTCGAGGGTCAAGTGAGTCAAACCGACGAACGTTACTTGTATTTAGGTGAGAACTTGCGCAGGTTCTTTACCATCATTTGTTTCAGCAAAAAATCAATTGTCCCACTTTGAGTGGTGTCAAATCTTGACGTCCAGTATCATATGACGGTTTGTATACATTTTGCTATTGTTTGATGTTGTGCCAAGCTGTTGATCTGGTCTGTTTTAAAAATCAGACGAGTTGGGTGTAGTAATCATTAACAGTAGATAATTTAGTGATCAGACTGGGAGTATCAAACGGAAGGATGGCATCTCGACCATACATCAATTTGAATGGTTCCATTTGAGTTGTTGACTGTTTCGATGTATTGTATGCAAAGGGGACGAATGGTAAATAATCATCCCAGTCACTTTGTTGTTGATTTACATATGTACCAATTGAGTCTACTAATGTGGCGTTGAAGCACTCAGTGAGACCATTGCATTGTGGATGGTATGTTGTTGCTGTAATATAATTGATACCACATCGAGACGCGATGGCTTCAAAAACGTTGGACATAAAGTGCGTACCTCGGTCAGTTAACAATTGTTTAGGCACTCCATACTGCAAGATAACTTTGTCAACGAGGAACTTGGCTGCTGTTTCGGAGGTACAGTTAGGCGTCGCTTGTGTGATTGCATAACGTGACAAATAGTCTGTACACACCAGAATGTATTTATTTCCGTAGGATGATTGTGGAACTGGACCAATAAAGTCTAGGCCCATAAGGTCCAAAATTCCTGTTGGGGGTTCGATGGGTTGTAATTTACCTTTTGGCCTGATTCTATCAATCTTGAATTGTTTGCATTTTGTACATGATAACACATGATCTTTAATTTTCTTGAACATTCCAGGCCAGAAGTATCGATCACGAATTTTATACCATGTTTTGTTGATACTTAGATGACCACTTGTTGGACTGTCGTGATAAGCATACAGCAATGGATCCACCATAGATGCTGGAATGTATGGTAGTGTTACTATAGGCTGACCTAGTCGTTGGATGATCTTACATACTAACTCATTTTCTAATGAATAGGATGATTGTTGTTTTCCGTTTGATAATTGTTCATATATTTGTTTGATTGTTTGGTCCTTTTGCTGTTGTTCACGTATTTGTGTTGAAGAAAAATGTGAATTAACCACCATATTCATGCAATTGACAGGACCGTGCATCAATTCAAGTTGTTCTTCGACGATGTCATCTGGTTGTTGGATTGGGTACCTGGATAGACAATCGGCAACACAATTTGACAATCCCGAGGTATGCTTGATATCGAATGAGTATTCTTGCAACTGCAACGACCATCGATCGAGGCGACCATTCTTTGACGATTGTTTGTTCAGCCAGCATAATGGATGATGATCTGTAATTAAGGTGAATTCGCGTCCATATAAGTATGGACGTAATTTTGTAATGCACCAAACCATTGCCAAACATTCCTTTTCCACGACCGAATATATTTGTTCACGTTTTGATAGTGATCGTGACAAGTATTGGATTGGTTGGAGATGTCCATTCGGAGTGACTTGATGTAATACTCCGTCAATACCCGTATTAGATGCATCAGTATTAATCTTCAATTTTAGTTTCGACTTGCCATCGTAGAATGCCAGCAGTGGGTATTGCGATAATTTTTGCTTCAGTGTATCGAAAGCCTTTTGGCATTCACTAGTCCATACGAATTTCGTATTTTTTGTCTTAAATACATTTAATGGAGCAGCTATGCTGGCAAAGTCTTTGATGAAACGACGATAGAACTGTGCCATTTGGACGAACGAATAAGCTGCTTTTGCTGAGGTAGACGTTGGAAAATCAATCGTCTTTTTCACATTCGCCGTGGTTGGCTTGATACCATCCTGTGTAATTCGAAAGCCTAGGCAGTCTAACTGTTTACGCACCAACAAGCACTTGTTAGCATTAAGTTTGACGTTGGCTTTTTGCAATGCATTTAGTACCAAGTCCAGATGTTGTACATGTTTCTCGAATGACTTTGAATAAATAATAATATCGTCTAAATATACCAGCGTAATATCCCATCGTAAAGCTCCTAATATAGAGTTCATTATACGCTGGAATGAAGCAGGTACATTTTATAGACCGAAGGGAAGAACATTGAATTCATACAGACCATCGGTTGTCACAAATGCCGCCTTCTTTTTGACATGTTCGTCGATGGGGATCTGCCAGTAGCCGGCCTTGAGATCTAATGTGGTAAAATACTGTGAGCCAGCAAGTCTGTCGATGATATCGTCGATACGTGGAAGAGGATATACGTCCTGTTCAGTTATTAAATTCAGCCGTCTATAATCCACGCAGAACCGAGGACTACCATCTTTCTTTTTGATAATCACAACCGGAGACGACCATGGACTTGAACTGGGTCTAATAACATGATTATCGAGCATTTCTTTTACTTGGTCGTTGATGATTTGAGTTTCTTTGACAGATCTTCGATATAGATATGACTGGATTGGTTGATGATGCGGTTGGGTCGGAATTCGGTGATAAACATTGTTCGTTTTCATAATCGATGGTTTGGATGTGTCGAAAACGGCGTTGTATTTTATCAGTACCCGCTGTATTTGTTCTCTTTGTGTTTGTGGAAGATGTCTTATCAGGTCGTTGATTGTGTGGGTAATTAATGACGTTGATATTGTTGTCTGTTGTGCTGGATTTGGTATTAGCGTAGAAACACGATGTTGATGATAATTTGTCAGCTCTGGGTACACATAACAACACTTACTGTCTTCATGATATTTGACTTGGCCCACATTTGTGCCTTTTGGAATCTTTTGGATTGCGGTTGTTGTGTTCAATAACGTTAGTGTTGTAGCATTGTTGTTATCAATTAGTAATATGGCATGTGTGGCAAGAATGTGTTGTTTGTTTAGCCATTTTGATGATGGAGTGAATATGGCTGACATTGATCGAGCCGCTGTTGTTGCTTGAATAATCTTTGCGGATAATGGTGGTATACAAACTTCATTTAATGTTTTGACATTAAACACTTGTTGCTCGTTCACATGTTGATTGAATTTGATCGTAGTTTGTTGTCGTTTAGTGTGTAGGGTGAGACGTTTGGAACCGTAATCAATGTGTACATGATGTAAAACACAAAAGTCTCCGCCCAGTAATAAATCTGTACATAAGTTTTCGACAATAAACGTGCTCACTTTCGTTTCCACATGATTAATTATAATAGGTAAAACGATCAAACCGGATGTATGTAGTTGACTATTGTTGGCCGTTGTACAAGATATCTTTGTCGGGTAAATGTATTGATTGATGTTGAGCTTTTTCAAGTATTCTGCGTTGATGGCCGATATTGTTGAGCCAGTATCTGTCATGGTTTTTGTTTCGATATTGTTTACTAGTACTTTAATATGTATCAATGCCGATGGATTTTTGGTACGATGGGTGACATTACCATCAGGTGGCACTCGTATTAGTTTAAATAACTAGGGCATTGATATGCATAATGTCCAATCCCATTATAGTTATAGCACATGAAGTTGGATGAATTTGGTTTTGGAAACTTACGATACTGGCTCTGATTGGAGCGTTGATGTGCACGATAGTTGTTTGATTTACCTTGATTATTCGAAGTTTTCCGAATTGGATGAACATTTGACGGAATACTTTGATTAATTGATGTACGACGACGAGCAGCTGTTGTCTCGTCATTAAGTTCATGGGTGATTGTTGATGTCTGTTCTGATGATGGTGAACTTACTGTTGCAGCAGCTTCGGCTCGTTTTGCATGTTCGAATAAATCTTTGCATGTCTTAGGATCACTCATTATGACATGCTGTTGTATGGATGGTTTTAAACCACGAAGTAGATATAATATTTTTTCGTCTTCCATCATGTCCGGATTAAAACGAGCACATAATCCTAGAATATCGTAGTAATACGATTGAACTGACTCGTCGTTACCTTGGCGTCGATTCATCAATTTAGTCGAAATCTTCAATTTATGTACAGATGATGTGAATGCGTTAATGAATTGTTTCTTGAATTCGTCATAATCACTGCTAAGTTTCTCACTACGATACCACTTCTTGACATCATTGCCAAAATACATTGGGAGTAAACGTCGTCGATCATTATTATCAACTTTTGTAGCATCAAACAATTCCTTGACGCTCTGAATCCATGTCATCGCATCTTGTTCGTCCCCAGCTGTAAATAATTCAATTGGCTGAATATCTTTAAGTAGTATTTGCGTTGACAAGTTGGATGTCATATTATCTTGCAGTTGTTTCTGTTGACGTTCAACTCGTTTGGCTTCTAGTTTCTCTTCGTACAGTCGACGATTTGCTTGAGCTTGTTCTTCAGAGGTGTTACGCGTAGCGACCAGTTTGATAGTTTAGTTGCGTACCAATATCTGACGTTGTTTGTGATGTTGAATTGACAAACAGTTGGCTAGTGCACCAATGTAAAGGTTGTCAACCACTAACCAGTTGCAAGTCAGAGAGAAGGCTATGTTAACGTGTATGTACAATCCGGTTTATTGTTGAGAACAGAGAGGTATATATATACATGGGTTTAGAACAAAAGGAATATGCTAGAAGTTCCAGAACTCTCACGAGAGTACTACTGAGAACAATAGAGAGACACGAATACGCTGGAATATACTAGAACAGTGAACATATATCCATTCACGCATAACGACAGAACGAAAGAAGATATAGATGGAATGGGATTCCCGAATTTCGCCAATAAGACTTTCGCCAACAGGACATTCGCCAATGGCGAAAGTCCAGTGTACTTTCGCCAATATACCCTGGTGACTTTCGCCAATTGGCGAGAGTCCACTGTACTTTCGCCAATA